TCTTTTCATTGGAGCAAACCTAAAAAAGATAGTAAAAATAATTTTTCGATAAAATATAATGACCAAAATAGCCCGTGAAAATTTGAATGGCATTTTGGTCATTTTATTTTATTGAAAATATTGTTTTTTTATTTTTCGCTTGTGCGAGTTTAATAGAGGATTGGATGTACAAAATTTGCTGTCAAAATAGTTTATAGAAAAAAATTAAAAATAAAATAATGTAGAGACATGACATTGTGATCGGGGCAATCTTAGCCCTCCATTCAGAGTGGACGATTGGATAATGGGAAGTCTATAAGTTTTATGCTGTACGAGAAGTATAGAAAGCTTGCCCATTAACTATACCAAAAATATAATTAGAAGAAATTACAAAAGTATTTAGAATCCTAATTAAATATTGTGAATATCTCATAATCATATAGGTATAATTTTGTATTTAGTTATTAATGGTAAACAAATTATAATACTATCTATAGAATTTATTATTTTATGTTAATTATTTTAGTTTACAATCAATAAATTTATTTGTAATTGATTTATAGTCATAATATTATCCTCTAAGTTACTAAAATGTCAATTTTTAGATATTGTTTGATATCCAGTAACATAATATAAAAGAAAGGCATATATATTCTTTTCATTTTTATTTTTTGGCATTTATACTAATTAGTTTTAATTGCAGTGGATATCTAATCATGATGGTTATTTATAACACTTATCATGTGATATATTTTTGTATTTTTATTTTTCTAATTTTTTAGAATAATATTTATAAGTACATAATTTTGCTAATATTATTTTTAATTATTTTAGAAAATAGTATAATTGAAAATAAGAAAAAAAAAGATATAACACAAGTAATTAATCAGAAATATAAAATAAATATAAAGATAATTCCTTCTATGTTTTTCTTTTTTGCATTTTCAATTTCTCCACACCATTGGTTTTTTTGTTTTCTTTCCCCTTCCAAGTTGAGGCACTTCCTCATGCGGAGTGGGCTCAACATGCTCCTTATGGTCAAAATTCTCCTCGACTCTTTCATGAGGATTTTTGGCACTTCTATTGAAGTATTTTTTGGAGTTGTCAACTCCATCTCATATACATTACCACTTTCCAATTTTTACACACCCTTTCGAATGTAATTCAACATCACAGACTCATTAAACTTAACATCACAACTGATAACAAACTTAAGCTACTCAGGATCTGGGAACCATATATCCTTTAACTCCATTTGCATAACTAAGGAAAATACATTTCTTTGATATTGAATTGAACATCTGTCTTTTTTTTTTTTTGTTTTTTTTTGTTTTTTAACTATTAAGCTTGGACTCAACATCCTTCATACTAACATAAGCAAAACAACCTAAATTTTTTATATGGGAATCGTTCGTAGGTTTACCGAACCGTATCTCTTGTTATGTTTTGGAATCTATTGCCATAGATGGTAACTTATAGATGAGGTAACATGCTATATTTGCTACTTCTGCCTAGAAGTGCTTTGACAAATCAACGTTACTCATCATAATATGGGCTTTCTCTAGAAGTGTCATATTCATACGCTCAACAACTCTATTCTCTATCAGCGACTTCAGATGAGTTAAGTGGTGAATAATTGTTTTGCTCTTACAAAAATTAACAATAATTAGTTCTCAAGCACTTGACCTTCTTCCCAATCTCTCTTTCAACCTTAGTTTTTCAATGCTTGAATGTGTTAAAATACCGTCGTTAATATTAACCGACATCTTTGAGAAATCATCTATGAAGAAAACAAAGTATAGAGATCCAGCTTTTGAGACAAATAACACAGGGCCCCAAACATCTGAATGAATTTAGTCAAGATTGCCTTGTGAGGTATGCTCCAACGCACTGCTCCAATGCACAGAATTGCACCCACCCTACACTGTTTGCCATAGACAATGCTTAACGAAGTTCAACTTGTATTTTTTCACGCCACTGATCAATTGACGTTTGTTAAGTTTCACTAAGGTTCTCTCGCCCATATGACCTAGCCGCATATGTCATAATTGAGTCAAGTCGGAATTGCTACCATTAGATATGAAAACTCCAGATCTATATGTAACAATATTTTCTAGCAACACATATAAATTCAGTTCAGTCTTTTTACATTTCATCTGAGCTAGGGCATCCTTTAGAATTTTCAAACTCCACTTTCTCCATCATATTTGGAGCCATTGGAGTCTAAGGCACCCAAAGGGAACATTTTTATTCAGATTTGGAACATGTCTTACATTAGTTAAGGTTTTCACGACTCCAACGTACATCTTGATAGTAGTTGTCCCAACAACAATAGTCTTACAAGTCACATTATTTCCCATCAAAATTGATCCACCATTAAGGCTTCTGTATGTGGTGAACGTATCGTGATGAAAGCACACATGATAGGAACATATCGTATAAAGAAACCACGACTCTTTAGAGCAATCATAATTTGTTGAGACTGACAATATATTAATACCATTTATCGAGTTTCCATCATTCATATCGGCCGCATTAGAGGTTCTTTTTCATTCTATTTGATTTTCTGGCAATCTTTCTTAATATGCTGTTCTTTTTGCAATAATAGCAATGACTATTGCATGTTCCTAATCTGGATTTGGACCTGCCCCAGCCTTCACATCCTTTTTCATTTCCTCTCAATGAATCTCCCACTAGCAACCCTTCACATCCTTTTTCATTTCCTCTCAATGAATCTCCCACTAGCAACTAAACCTAAGCCATCTTTGCATGTGGCTGAGTATTACCTTGTATCTTCCTCAAATCATTAGAGATAAGGGTCAAAGTCACATTCCATCTATATGGTATTTTTTTCTCAAAGAGTAAAGTTGTGACAAGATGTTCATACGAACGAGAGAGTGAAAACAACAAAATTGTAGTTTTATCCTCATCATCCATCTTAATACAAATACTTAATAATTCACAAACAATTTTATTAAATTGATTCAGGTGCACATGGATATCCATTATTTCATTCATCCATATGGTCTATGGTTATTGCTTAAAAAAAAAATCGACTTGCAAGGGATTTCGTTACTTACAAACTCTCAAAGCTTCGACCAAAGACTTGATGTCGAGTCTTCATTAGCGATATTAAATAGCACTTCACTTGACATGCATAATCAAATAGTGCTTATAACCCTCATATCAAAGTTTTCCCAGTCTTTATCTACTATGGATCCCAGTTTCTTCGACTTTTCTTTTAAAGTTTTATGTAGACCTTTTGGCACATAACACTGATATGCTAAATTTCAAATTTATTTTTACCATGTAATCTCTTCACCTAGAACTTTTCATTTGAAATCTTTATTTCCATATCAACAACCCTAAAACAGGCTCTAATACCACTTATTGTGTGCAGAAGCTCTAAAACTTGATGGGTTGATTTTTGGCAAATAAAGAACGAAAGAAACAAGAACTGATAACAAGCAAACCACATCAAGAAAAATAAAACAGGAAACAAATAATACAAAAAGAACACTGGATTTACGTGGTTTGTCACAGATGTGACTACATCCACAAACAAAAAGGATCGATGGTTTTTCACTATTTAGATGAAATAAAATTACAAAGAAAAAAGACCCTGGGAGCTAGACACAAAACTCAAATCTCCGCAAAGCTTCTCATTCTCACAATTTTCTCCTTCTACAGCCAAAGTTTCCCTCCTTTTTGTGTCCCTTTCTACCCAGAAAGAAAGTGCGTGAGCCAGCCCATACTTTGAACTTTATGGAATCTAATTTTATCCCTTATAACTATAGACCCACATGTCTTAATATGACTTCCCAAAATAAACACTTAAATAATAGGAAAGGTGGTTAACGGTAACCCAAAAATAAATAAAACAATCCCTTAAAAATAGGGATTCAAGACAAACTATTGACATTATATACACTCTATATAAATTACTCTTGCAGGATTGAAATGAGAAAAGTGCCTTACACGTTTTTTCTCTTTAACTGTAATTATGAATTTCTCTAATTTTGATAAATGGGTTTCAATGGCAAATTTGTTTTGGGAGGTTTTTTGATTAAACAGCCTTATCTTTATCAAAGTTATAGATAATAATTTTTTTTATTGATAGTATTGTAGACAATAATTTTTGCTTCTTTTGTTGGCAGAACCATACTTAACTGTAAGGAAATAAAATATTATAAAAGAAAGTATACAATAAGGGCACATTTGGTATGAGTCAAAGTATTTTCACACGAGAAATTCCTTCATGTGACTCGGTATGGTAGTTCTTTTAGACCAATTTGCCCCAACACATTTTTCACAGCAACTGGCAACTATTTGATGTGGAAAAAGTCCCACACCAATTCACAAGATAGTTTTTTTTGACATAAAATACTTTTACAAATGTTTTTTCTAGGCGTACCAGACATGCCCTAAGATTATTTATATATGCTATAGTGGAACAAATAATATTAGCCTTTGGATGTGAAATTGAGTGCCTACATTTATTCCATTGACGAGGCACAAAGTTTAAATAAAGATTTTTTGAACTTTGTGACTAACCCAAGCTTTCAAATTTTACATTGGATGGTTATAGATAAATGTGACCTCCTTCTACCCACGGTAAATGACCTCATAATGTACAATACCATGTTATAATGACACTGTATTATTCTATTATTCTTACATAAATCTGAAAAGAAAATATCTTGTAGACAGCCTTCCATTATTAGAGGTACCCAATACTGGTCTTTCAAGCAAGAAATGTGGGACCATCCATGTTTCGCAATTAAATTGGAGCTGGGATCTTTAATCTTTTAGAAATAAATATTTCAAAATATAAAAAGTTTGAATAATATCATAAGAACTTTCACTAATTGTCATTGTTTCAATAAATTATAATGTACAACTAAAATTCTTTTATTTCATTTATAATGCTATTAATGTTCCCTCAGCAATTTCTTAATATCCATCAAGTGCCTATAGCGGTTGCATTTATTCCTAAACTTCTTGTTGTTGTTTGGATATAGAATGAAGTGATAAAACCTGCAGTTAATGGGACATTGGACGTATTGCGTGCCTGCGTCAACTCCAAATCTGTGAAGCGCATTATTTTCACATCTTCAGCATCAGCTGTCGTCGTTCGAGATCCAATGCTTACAGAGTATGATGAGAGTTCTTGGACTGATGTCGAGTTTTGCAGGAATTCCAACATGAATGGATGGGTATCTCTCTCTCTCTGTTCATGACCAATTTGATATATGCATTTGGCAGTAATATAAGCCTCTAGCATATAGAGCATAGGTGAGGTTTGCATAAGGTTGCAACCTTACACATTCAAAGTAAATCGCACCTCCAAACTTTCTTATAAGACGTAAGTTTGGTACCGACATTTTTTAGAAGCAAAGAGTTTATATAAGGGCAAGGCTCTAAATAATCAAATTAAGGCGCACCTCAAAAATTTACTAGAAGAGGTCGTTTTGACTTCAAGATGTATAGACATGAGCAAAAATTGATTTTAATTCTTGGAAATAGTGCATCTTGTAATGCATTTTTTGAACCGTAAATCTGCATTTTTTGAACCGTAAATCTTTCGTGATTTTTAAATGTTCATAAATATACTCAATCAACACTATTTTTTAGGCTTTAAAATGGTAATTAGAGAGGAAAATAAGTTTTACAGCCATCACAAAGGTTTTCAGTATTGAAACAACTTTCGATACTATTTGAAGGTGCATCCTATTTTTATTGTTTAGGGCCCTATTTTGATTGTTTAGGGCCTCAGCTTTATACTAACCACACCTATTTTAGAATGGCGTGAGAATCTATTTATCTCTAATCATAAAATTTTAAAGTCCAAAAATAGTTCAAATCAAGTAGATCTATAAATGCCCAAAAATCTTGAAAATAGACTGTCCCAATAATGTGTCATCAAGATGAACTATTTTTGGGAGTTACAATTTTTTTTTTGTTGTTGTTACATGTCTTACAAATGGTTCTCCAATATCAAAATAGCCTTTTTCTGATGGATTTTTTAATTGCACCTTAATTGTGTCAACCGTATATAAACGTTTGCCATAGAGTATTAGTTCCTCTCTCTTTTTAGAAAACAATTCTTGCTGCCAAATGAATTTGTCTCTTTTGAAGTTAATATTCTCAGCCGTGTATTTGTTAAATATAATAAAAAAATGGTTTGATAATGTTGCAGCCTTATCAAAATAAGTAAATCCTTACTTTATAACTCAACGAAAATTGCAAGTCGAGCATTTGAAAATCTTTACATCGATGAACATTATGGTTGTGAAATAATTATGGTTGTGAAAAAAATTTTAGGATTTCAAGCTCTAAAAATAGTGTATATTGTAACAAATTATCTAGACCGTCCATTTTATTTTCTAAAAATAAGTGTTCATGGATGAACAAAATCTGTATCATTTTTTGAGTTTTAAATTTTATTGTCGGTATTGGAAATTGATTGTAGAGCCATTATAGAGATTTCCATCGCCAAAAGTACTTTCTGGACGAGGATTTGAGGTAAGGCTTTATTTTTTTTTTAAAAAGCCTAGGTCTTATAGAAACTACATCCATATAATAATTTGTCAATTCTATCCTCAGATGTGTACTTGAGTAATAAGACAATAAAATTAATAATAGGAAAAAATTTTATGTAAGGTTGCAATCTTAAAATGTAGATTTGAAGATGACTTAAAAAATTCCATTGGAAAAGGTTGTTTTAATGTTGAAAAACTCTCTAATTGATCATCTCGACATCATGATGTATGAATATGAAAAGAAAAAAAAAGATTTCCGAGTTCCAGAAATAGTGCATCTTGCATATTATCTAGGCCATATGTTTTCAAGATTTTCATATGTTTATAAATCTACTTGATTTTAACTATTTTTGAAGTTTAAAATTTTATAATTAGGGATGAAAATAGATTTTAAGACAATCCTAAGAATTTTTTAGGTCAAAATTATATGTTATGATAAAATTTGGAGGTGCGCCTTAATTGGATTGTTTAAAGTTGCAACCTTATGGAAGAAGTAGTAGCAATAGTAGTAATAATAATGAATTCATAATAATTGATTATGTTAATTTCGTTTGCTATTTTCAATGTCCAACAACAACAATAATGGTAGTTTGTAGCAATAGTAGAAGTAAAAATAATAATATTTGAATATGTTAATTTTTTTTTTTTGCCATTTTTTTGTCCATCACTACCGAAGTTTCGAGTATTCAAAGGTGCCTTACAAAAGGAACCCTTAGGCGCCCGATAAGGCCAGTTTTTTTAAAGTTTTTTAAAGATAACTATTCTCGACATAAGCAGAAGATGAGCTTACAGACTCAATTTATTTTCTTATTGTCAATCCTGATAAGAATACACTCTTTCCATGTAACACATAGAAGATGAACATACATAAACATTTATTTCCCTATTATAAAAAATGATGAACACTCTTTACATGTCAAATACATTGAACCAGTGTTTTCGACTCCGCGAGTTTTTTGGAATCGCCCCGTTCGGTTGGAATTACCCTGAGTTACCCAGTACATGTCGAGGTAATTAAAAAAAGAAGAAGTCCTAAAAACTATATATGAACATAGGGGATTGATGTATAAAATATTCTGTAATTTGGATGCTTCTGGCAATGATTGGTGAGTTTTTCTGCCATATCCCTGATTTTTATATTTTCTTTTTTTGGATTTTTTTTTTATTTCCCTGACTATAAATCATTATTTTTAAAATCCATTTTTTATATACTTTTTTAAGTTCATTTGAACGTTTTTACTTTGTTTTTGGTTTTATTTGACCTTTACTATTTTTAATGTATTTATTTTTAAATTTTTCGAGAGCTTTTGGGCCCTCTACACTACTCAAGTGAGTCCATTGGTCTCACCTCTGTAACTCGTCTCGAGTGAGAGCTGAGTACCAGGCCAAAAAAAAGTATAAAAACGCTGCATTGAACAGACACGTGAGTTTACATATGTCTGCATATGACATAGATTACAAAAACTCTTCTTTATTTTTAAGGAAAATAAATTTCGAAACTTTTTCATTTTTGTTTGAATGTTGATTTCGGAACTATTGAACTCATAATTTGTAATTTCGTCCATAGATGTATTTTGTGTCCAAGACACTGGCTGAGAGAGCTGCATTGGACTTTGGAGAAGAAAATAATTTGGAGGTTATTACCATTGTACCTCCCTTCATAATTGGGCCCTTCATTATGCAAAATATGCCCTCAAGCGTTCACTCTGCCTTATCTCCAATCACAAGTATGCACCTCTAACTTTGTTTTCTTGTCTCCTAAATGCTGGCAAGTATGAACCATGGAGTGAACCAAAAAATGAAATGAAAAACAAAAAGAAAAGAAAAGGGAAAAGAAAGGGAAAAAAAAGAGAAAGCAAGTGTGAATAAGACCATGGATTGAACCAAGGGCCAAAAAATAAAATGAAAAAAAAAAAAAAAAAACTCGAAGACTTTACAGTTTGTGAGGTGTAACTATGATTTTCCTTAAATAAGGTTTTGTGTTTGATTTACATTATAGGGGAGGAAGCTCACTATGCCTATTTGAAGCAACATTGTTTGATACATGTTGATGACTTATGTACTGCTCAAATCTTCCTCTTTGAGCATCCTGCGGCAAAAGGAAGATACATTTGCTCCTCACATGATAACACCATCTTTCAATTGGCCGAAATGATGAGGGAGAGATACCCAGAGTATGACATCCCTACAGAGTAAGTACTCCTCCCACTCATTTTGTTTGGTTTTTTAATGATCTTTCAATTGGCCAACGTTTGACACTCCAAGGACACAACACCTTTTCCCTATTGATTTGTCTTGTATTCCTAGATAAGTCTCGGTTAAGTTTCCATATTTTGTTGGAATGTGAATCCTAAATTTTAGGAAACAGATATGTTTTAGATATCTCTAAATTGGCAAGATATAGGGGCATCACGTGACCTCTATTTGAGTTTCCTATCTTTTGGGCAGTTCCTATTATTTAGGATTATTATCTTTTTGGTTAGTTCTAGTTATGTTAGGATATACATGAGAGACCATACTAGATAAAGATAAACTTATGTACCCAAAAGTTGTAGAAAAAGATTGAGCCTCACATACCTCTTTTTGGGTGGTTGCTCTTTCTATATATTAGGTTATTTAGCGAGAGAGAAAAAGATCTAGAAAAATAGAGAGAAATTTTGGGGGTTTTTGCAAAGACAAAATTGTAAAGAAGAAGGTTTTGTGGGAGATTGAGTATCTGGTTCTCTCAAGTAAGGTTCTTTGTAATTTTCTTTCTTTGATTTAGTGAAAAACATCGATCGTCTTCGCCCAAGTAGTCACAATTGTGACGAACCACGTAAATCTTGATGTTTTTTTTCTGTTATTTTTTTACTGCTTTATTTTTGTTGTTTGTTGTTTGTTTTTTGTCGATTATTTTTCTCGTACTTTATTTGTCAAAAATCAACCCATCGGATTTAGAGCTTCCCCGCGCAACAAGTGGTATTTGAGCCCGGTTTGGGATTGTCGGTATGGCGGTAAAAGTTTCGAATGTAAAATTCAAGGTAGAGAAATTTGATGGCAAAAATAATTTTAGAATTTGGCAAATCAATGTTTGGGATTTACTAGTGCAACAAGGTTTACATAAAGGTCTGAAAGGAAAGTCAAAGAAACCAGAATTCATATTTGATGAGGACTGGGAAGACTTAGATATGAGGGCTATGAGCACTAGTCGATTGTGCTTATGGAGTGAAGTGCTATTTAATATCGTCAATAAAGATTCAGCATCAAATCTTTGATCAAAGCTTGAGAGTTTGTATATGACGAAGTCCCTCACAAATCGACAGTTTTTTAAGCAAAAATTGTACACCCTGTGGATGAATGAAGGCACAAATATCCATGAACACTTGAATGATGTTAATAAAATTATTTGTGAATTATTGAATATTGGTGTTAAAATGGATGATGAGGATAAGGATATAATTTTGTTATCCTCACTCCCTCATTCGTATGAGCATCTAATCACAACATTGCTTTATGGAAAAGATACCATAAAGATGGAGGATGTGACTTCGACTCTTCTCTCTAATGATTTGAGAAAGAGACAGGATAATGTTCAGCCACATGCAGATGGTTTAGTGGCTAGAGGGAGATCTGTTGATAGAAGTAGAAAGAGACATGAAAGATAGGGTTGATCTATATCCAAATCCAAATAAAGAAAAAGTAATATTTATTGCAATTACTACTAGACAAAAGGGCATGTTAAGAATGATTGTTGGAAACTCAAAGAGAAAGAAAGACGAGCTTTTGAAGCAGCCAATATAGTTGATAGAAGCTCGGTAAGTGGAACATATAATGTGTTATCAGTCTCGAAAAATTGTGAAACCTCTAAAGACTCGTGGGTTTTTGATTTAGGATGTTCTTGTCATATGTACCCTCATCGGGATTGGTTCACCACATATAAGAGCATTAATAGTGGATCGGTTTTGATGGGGAATGATGCAGCTTGCAAGATCATTAGTGTTGGGACAATTGCTATCAAGATGTATGATGTTAGATACGTTCCCTATTTGAAAGAAAATCGTATTTCTCTTGGTACCTTAGACTCCAATGGCTGCAAATTTGTTGGAGAAGGTGGAGTTCTGAAGATTCTTAAAGATACTTTGGTTATGATGAAAGGAACGAAGATCAGACTGAATTTATATGTGCTGCTTGAGAAAACTATCACAGATAGAGCAACAATTCCGTATCTGATGATGGTGATTGTGACTTGACTCAGTTATGATATATGCGATTGGGCCATATGGGTGAGAAAGGTTTAGCGGAACTTAGCAAACACAAATTGATCAATGGCGTGAAGAAGTGCAAGTTGGACTTCTGTGAGCACTGTGTTTATGGTACGCAGTGTAGAATGTAGTTTCGTACTTTAGAACATACCACAAAAGGTATTCTTGACTATCTTCATTCAAAATGCTTGGGGCCTTGCATTGTTTGTGTCAAAATGTGGATCTCTATACTTTGTTTTCTTTATTGATGATTTCTCAAAGAAGGTGTAGATTTCCACATTGAAGGAAAATGCAGATGTATTTAACATATGCAAGCAGTGGAAAGCTATGGTCGAAAGACAGACTGGAAATAATGTCACGTGCTTGAGGACTGATAATGGTGGAGAGTACACTTCAGTGGAGTTTTGTGAATTTTTGCAAGAGCAAAGGAATTGTTTGTTAGTTCACCACTCCAAAGACACCGCAACAGAATGAAGTTGTTGAGCGCGTGAACATGACACTTCTAGATAAGGCTCGCAACATGTTGAGTAATGTTGGTTTGTCAAAGGACTTTTGAGCTAAGGCGGTCAATACGGCGTGTTACCTCGTCAACATGTCACCATCTACAACAATAGATTACAAAATACCAGAAGAGGTATTGTCTGGTGAACCTGTTGCTTATTCTCATTTAATAATTTTTTGTTGTCCTGCTTATGTTCATGTGAAAGATGATAGGTTGAGTCCAAGGTCAAAGAAGTGTATTTTCTTTGGTTATGTGAATTGAGTTATGGGCTATAGAGTGTGGTGCTTAGATCTTAAGTCGCCTAAGTTTATTGTCAGTTGTGTTGTTAAGTTTGGTGGATCTGCCATGTTAAAGCACATTCAGAATGGTGTAGAAAAGGATAATTGCAGCAGCAGTAATTGAGGTGGAGTTTGTTGGAAAAACCGGCCGGTTAGAACCGAAACTGGTAGGGTGGCGACTCCAGTTAGCGCCGGTTTCCCGGTAATCTTAATTCAACGTACCCCCTCAGAAAAAATGGGGTCCAAATCGGCCGGTTTTTCCTGAATCGGTTCGGTTCAGAGTTAAAACGCCCGATATAACAAAATAACGGTACATTTAAGATAACGTCCGTTAGTTTTAACAATGACTGTTATATTTAGCACTGACTGTTATATTTAGCAAGACCTGTGATTCCGCCTTTTGCAGGCTTTTTTGATTCTTTTTTCTGTGGTTTTTTGTTCTTATCGTTGAATTATTGTACTTATCCCTACAAATCGTCTATAAAATCATGGATATTGAATGAAAAACTTCAAGTTTATGTTGTTTTTGGCGATTTGTAATGGGTTTTTTCATGTTCTTCAATTTTTTTGTGGAACATCCGCCACAGTGGTCTCTTGATGATCATTATCGTTATTGTTCTTTGGAGATGGTGAATAATTATAATTAGTATTATTATTCATGGTAGTAGAAGGAGGTGGGCAAGAAAACGATCATTTTTTGAGCAAGAAAATCTGCCACAGTAGTCTCTGATTTTGCTGGTTTTTTGGGTCACGCCATTTTTTCTAAAGCTGCTCCTTGGTGGCCTTGTTAAGCTGCTCTTTGGATCCTTCATTTCTTCTCCTCTCTCTCTCTCTGTCTCTCTCTTCGATCTGCTGTTTCTTCAACATCTCTCTCTCTCATGGACTGCTCTCTGGTGGCCTTTGTTATTTCTTTGACCCCTCTCTCTATCTCTCGGTTCTTTCTTTGGCATTCATTTTTTTTTAGACTTTAACAAAAAAATTGATGTTCCTGCGAGAGCAGATCTTTGATTCACTCTTGGGTAATAGCTTGCTTAGGGGTACTTCTATGACTGCAAAATTTGGGGTGGAAATTTCTTTAACCTAGTGATTAATATCAATATACTCGTTATATGTGCCTGAAAAAAATAAAATAAAATAAAATAATCCTATGCTTATTCAAAGATTGCTAAGTTTTTGGATGGTTTGATCTAAGGATTTAAGAGAGCTTAAATTCTATACTCATTTTGTTATTCTGAAGAGGACTCTAAAATTTTGGATTGAAAAAATTCTCCTAATTAGGCCTTTTGCCTAAGAGAGTATATGTTTATTTGCTCCTCATGGAGGTGCACTATACCAGTTATATTTAAGGGACAAAAAAAGGAGAAATTTTTACATGCCTATAAATCTATTCTAAATTTTATAATAATTTACAATTATAATGTCTTCTGTATTCATTTAGAATTACACAAACACATATACTCACATTATACATTCCAATGGGTTACACACTGAACCTGCTTGGAGTCACTTGAGCCGCGTGCCCCTTTTTTTCTTGATTCATATACATGTAAATTAATCTTTGTTGTGATATCGCCATGCTTACAAGGTCCCTTTGGTAGAGTGATATTCCAAATAAATATTTGTTAATAAACTTTTATGTTCAGGACAATTTACAAGAAAACAATAAGATGAGGAGGGGAGATGTAACGTGGCAGTATGGCACAAAGTAAATGACAGGAAGAGTTCGATGTAATTTTTGTGTCAAGGAAATGGGTGGTGGTATTTATAGTTTTAAAGAACATCTTGCTTGGGTAAAGGGTAATTTTACCTGTTGTAAAGAAGTGCCAGCAGAAGTAAAACAACAAATGTTAAAATTAATTACAGAAGGTAAAGGAAAAAAGGTGCAGAGAGAAAGAGATGCAGAGGAAAAAAGGAGGGGGTACGAACGCCCAATATGAGGAAGAGAACCAAGAATCAGAATTTGAGGCACAAATGGAGCGAATTAGGATTGCCAGTCTCCAAGAGCATAATTACAGACAAATAGAAATTCAAGAGATGTATAGGAGAAGGGATAATGCATCCAGTAGCCATCAACCTCAAGAACATGTAGTACCGGGTAGGGGAGGACGTGGGCCTTCGTTGCTTAGATCCACATATAGTAGATTAAGACGTAATCTCTCTAATCACCCATC